GTTTGGTTTCTGGTTGGTGGTTCTGTATTTGGGGGGTATAAATTTTCCAGGCTCGGATTGAGAAAGCTAAAAATATGAATAATGGAGAACACATAATAGAGAACTGTGAAATTTTATTTCCGACACTGCCAATATGGGCCTTAGCCAGAGCCGTGATATGAAACAACAAAGCAATTCTCAACTTATGACAACGCGGTTTATACCATAAAAGTTATACAGCTGATAGTAAAGCGTCGGAAAGTAACTCTTTATGGATGGATAATAAAGTAACTCTTTACAAACGCTCCCTTTAAAAGCCCTGTCAGCAATACTGGTATTGCCTAAGCGGTCGTAAGATGGTGCGTGATGTTTGTTACGTGCCATTTGTGGCCGTGATGCGGCCGCTGACCATGTTCAACATGTTCTCACCTTTCTTCGTATATTATGTTTGAACTGAACCGACATGCTCACCGGCCTTAATCCCGATGCGCCAGCCACGCAACCGCTGAGACCTACGCCCTAACCCCCAGGACTTTTGGCACGGCCAGAAAATGATACTTCAGTGCAAATAAGCCTTCTGAAACGGAAATATTTGTGATGTTTATGATTCAGTGCGTTTCATATAATTTTGCTTTCTGTGATTTATCGCATTCATAGTTATATTGCAACGGTTCAGATAGACGTAGCCCCTCTCCCCCGTCTCGAAACGGTCCTGGCAGTCGGTGAGGCGTATAACCCCAAAAATACTCACCCGGTAACCTGCATTGACCACAGAAGAAAATTCCTGACTTGGCAGCAAGTAAGATACCGCCATTGGTATAATATGGGGCTTAAACGCACCGCATCCACCGCTCAAGTTTGATGGGAGACAGAGGGGATTCAATTTGGAGATGATTGGCCTTTATGTATGGTCTGTCATAAAAAAATAACAGCCTACACTTCACAGGCGTAGGACCGTTCCAAAAACTTTGTGGACCAAGCTCAGGGTGTACTTCAGGAACTTTTTCTGGAAAGCGAGCCCGATGACCGGAGAGGGGGGGGGAGGGTGGCGATGGAGGCTGCTTTATTCAAATGTCATGGCTGTTATGCTAGATATGCATCTAGAGCCGTTTATCACCGGTGCACAATCTTGCCTATTCGACCCATCCTATCATTTGGCAAATAAGGCTATCCAGCTTCCCTGGATTATTCGTCCATTTCAACATTGTCTTTCCTGGGGAGGCGAAATTCCACTGGCGGGTAGGTATTTTGGGTCATTGAGGAAGCATCTGCCTCCAGTGTAGATGCCAAAATAAGACCTGGATATAGGCTGGTGAAAATTTTGAAAGTGGATCGATGGCTCACAGTGCGACAGATTTTTCATGCGCCTTTACTTCGCTGGCTGCTTTTCAAGAGATAAGGCTTGTCGCAGCATTTTAAGCGGAAACAAATTCGGGAGCTTAAAACTGCTAGAAGCAATGTGACACAAGCCATAAAACTGGAGATCCTCTTTTCAGAATCAAGCCACATAATAACGCCCATCTGTCATGTGTTCCTTATCTGGGCCCTGGTCCTGTCCGCCGTCGGCGGCCACTGCCCTGGCCCGGAAGTCTCCCGCATGACTGACTACGAACTGATCGTTTGGCTGCTTTGTTACATACTTTTGGACCGGCATTACTATTACATGGAGCATGAAACACGTGTTGGACACCTGCAACAATACCTTTTTCCGAGTTATCTTCCCTCACACCACACCATCGCAGAAAAATAGCCTCAGGGAAGCTGTCTGCCTTAGGTATGAATTGGCCCAATGGACACTTCATTGCCCGTCATGCAACGTATACGACTTGCTCTGCCTTTGTGTGTAGGCAGGGGCGTAGCCAGAGCCTTGGTAAGGAGGAACACAAGGTTGACAAAAGCCCATCTTATGGTGATCCCCCCCAAACTCTCCGGATATACCTTACTTGTTAACAAGTGACACGGTTTTCTTCGTGTTATTGTTGCATGTATCCAGAACAGAAGCCAGGAGGTACCGTGAGCTAAATTCTGTTTGCATTTTGAGGGCAATAAACTGCAGAAATGGGGTGTTGGACGACGGCATGGAAGAAACCCCGGCGTTCACGGAAGAAATCCCCGGTGTTCGAAAGACATTGAGGACACCGTAAAGGTAGATTGTAGATCGGTACGTTTGATCCAAATTTGAAGGTAAAAATTTGATTGCAGATCGAGTGGTCAACAATGTGTGTTAACATGGCCAAGCCACGTTTGTCTGAAAATTTTCACCATTCAGTCAGAATCGATTAGTGATACAATTTGTGTGACGTGCTTTAACGTGCGCGCTCGCAAATCTTAGCAACAAAAACCCCGACACCGGGCGTTGCAGTCTCCTTAATCCGAGGAGCTAATATTTGGCGTAGCTAATATTTGGCCGTGACCCACCGGTGGACGAAAATGATCGCGATTCTGAAATGATTACCTTTAAACACTTCGATCAACTAGTGGTACAGGTTATGTGACGTAATTTTCAGCATGTGCACTCGAAAATTTTAGAAACACAGGCCTCGACCCCAGGCGTTGCAGTCTCCATAGGCCGCGCAGCGTCAGCTTAGCAGCTAAAGTAAGTTGTGGCCAACGGGTGGACGAAAATGACGACGCTTCTAAAAAAGCATCCTTGGGCGCTTCATGGCATCACGTCTTGCATCTAGAAGGCAATCTGAGTGCATATTTCACGTGTGCAATTTTTAGATTGATGAAGAGAACGGATTGGCCTCTAAAGCACCACCAAGTGGGGCTGGAATCTGATGGTTGAGCTGGAAGAGTGAATGTAAAATGTCCATTTTTCGTGTTTTCGCAGCTATTTATCTGCCCAGAAAACAGATTAATACGGCGCCCGTCGTCTGGTGGCACTTGCAGTGGCCGAAACTTATCGGTTTTACGGAGGTTGCAACCTAGACCATCCTTGTCCTTGCTCTCGAGATTGCGGGCGGGCATGTTCAAGCCTTTTGATGTAATTTGTTTCAATAATACATTCTGAAAGAAACGAACGTTCGTTCGCGACGTGTCTTCTGGCTATCATTCTGGTGGCACGGGGCGGGATCTCCTGGTTGATCCGGAGGCCATTGGAAGGATATAGCATATCATATTGTTCCCATTCCTGACACGGGAAGCCTTCTGACCCGCGCAGTTAGCCCCGGATCAGCACAGGAACCTTCATTGACGCAACAGCATCCCTGATTCACCGCAGGTAGTCTGATAGTTGTCACGTAGACTCCAGTTCCGTGTTTTTCTGTGTTCTTCAGAGATATTGAGCTCTCCCTGACTGTAAATTGAAGATGAAATGGGGGTCCTTAATTTGCATTAACATGGCTAACCCATATGCGTCTTAAAACGCTCCAGATCCTGTCAGAGCTGATTACTGATAAGACAACTGCGTAATATGGTGATGAACATGCGAGCTCGCAAGTCATAGCAATAACAGCCTCGACGCCCGGCGTTGCAGTCCCCATCCCGTGCGGCGTCGGCCTTGCAGCTGTATGCGATGGCCAATGAGCAAACTCGGAAGACAACACATTTTGAGGGAGATGGCTGGTGAACTAGGTAAATCGGCATGCATGTTTAATGTAGTGCAAAAGTAAGCCAAATGCAACTTTAATCTGAACAGTGGGGGCCAGTTAACATTGCTGCCCCCCCCCCCACCGTGAAAAGTCGAGGGGCATGGCCCCCTGGCCCCCCACCGTTCCTACGCCCACTTTCTACTACACTTTGCAGCACGCTAAGCTGCAAAGTTTGCAATTTAGAATTTTCAATCGATTTCGCCCTACGAAAAGGTACATTTTCCCAGAGCAGGTCAAAGACAAGCCATTCTATGAAGAGTGTGGTGTGGTTGGCACGTGGCAACACTTTTTTGCTCAATGCCCTGAATGGCAAGCATGTTTGACCACCTTATTTTCTAGAATAAATGATTGATTTTCCATTAGGCGAGGAATCGTACCCGCGGAAGCTGATTTGCCGTTTGGTTTACGCAAGGAAAGACAATAGTAAACTCAATCATTGTTGTTGCCAAACAGTTTATCGCGATACAGAAATTCAAGGAATGTATTATCATTTATGACCTATTTCATAAATTCCTTCGCCTGAATTTTGATGCGGAAAATAAAGTGGCTGTTCTGGGTAGCAGAATCAATAATTTTAATGCTTCATGGCTGCCTTCAATTCAAATGGTGTCCGTTTTGATATAAGATAAAGGTATGATATGACATGTCACGGTGTATAGCGTGCTGCCTGATCGTCATATATGAAGCTGATGAAAATACACCAAAACATTAGTAAAACCGGTAAAAAACACAAAATGTGATGCCATAAAAACCCTTTAATTGTTCTCCTATTTCTGCCGCAATATCGAGCTGTTATGTATGTATGTTTCATATCATGCGTACCACCTCAAGTTCGTTGTGTCTCGTCTACCCCGCGACGGCCGCCACCCGGCCGCCGGCCGTGCAGCGACAGGTCGCGGACTGCGGGACCGGTTGTATGGCGGGCCGGCCGGGTCACGTGTGCGCCCGGTCGGCAGGACAAGAGGTGGCGGACTGGAGCCGCCACGCGGGGGTTTCCGCAGGCATTCACAACGGTTGCGTTCCGGAAGTGAGCTGCTAACTTGTATTGCATCGCCTCACATAGCTACACGCACATGGGCGCAGACAGGGGAGGTGGGGGGGGGGGGGGAGAGGGGGGCAGGGGACATGTACCCCTTCCCCAGGCTTTGCGGGACTTCGGGCCCGTCGAGACAAGCTATCAAGCGCCCGATTTAAGGTCCCGAAGGGCTGGCCGGAGGAAGACGCCGGCCTGCAGGCCTGCCCTCAAAGGTCAGCCAAAGGACCTCTTGAGCTTATCGGGGGTCACCGAGCCGATATAGGCCTCTAAAACCCTGCCACGGATAATCAGAAGCAACGTCGCCGCCGTCTGACGGTTGGCCCGGTAACTGAGACCATGGTGTGACGGGAACATCACCAGGGGGACGGCCGTGACGACCGCAGGCGGCTCACCTTATATTCGTGCGTGGTCACGTAGATGGGTACGAAGGCCAGCCACACGATGCAGGTGCTGTACATGGTGAAGCCGATGTACTTGGCCTCGTTGAAGTTCTCCGGGATCTTGCGAGTCTTGAATGCGTACCAGGTGCAGAGGACGATGAGGACCATGTTGTAGCTGAGGGAGACCACCTGCGAGAGGCTGCCGATGCCGCAGGTGATGACGACTGTCGTCCTGCTGGGGTACACCTCCTTGGTGGCGGGCGGCTCCAGGATCAGCCAAACGATGATGCCAATCAGCTGGATGGAGACGAGGCCTGGACCAGACGTGAGCCACGAAACCAGACATCAGATACTGCCCTCACACGTGCACAAGCGCACGCACGTGAAACGTGGCGAGTGCGTCACTGATAATGTCCATGGGCCATGGGTCACCATGGGCCTTTGATGGGCCATGGGTCACCATGGGCCTTTGATGGGACATGGGTCACCATGGGCCTTTGATGGGACATGGGTCACCTCGGGGATCGCCCGGCGCCCGTGTTCTGGCATTCATTACGGTTACGTATACCGTTTGTATCATCTTTGTCGGTAGCTCTTAAATGCGACGGTCGGGCTCATTTCGTTTTAAGTTTATTTCGAGCGTGACATTATCAAAATCGATGACGTGCAGAGACTTCTTTGTGCTAATGAAAGGCGAATGTTTGACAAGATTGGAAGAAATCAGCATGCCGCAAGTAATGATCTTTTTTTCACAAAGACAACACGTTTGGTACGTGCTACCGATGACTATTTAAGGTGGATGTAAAGGATTCTAGCTAAATTGATGACTTACAAGTAAGTCATACCACAGCCTACTTCGCAACATGAACAACGTAACAGCATACATGTAACTTGTGACGAGATCGAAGGCAGCTTAGAAGTCCAGCCATACGCAGAGGAGGATCCCAGTAAGCAACAAGACACAACATTCAGATATTCGAAGTGAAATGGTGTACAGCATCATATGATCAGGCAATACTAGTGGCTTGTGATGAACGGGCTTGCAATACAACTCCAGGCTGTACACTGGTGACATAGGCTCTCGTGCTTCGCTCCTTACCAGCGCAGATAACCAGCTGAGACTTGGGTGACGTGTAGGAGGGACGCTTTATCGTCTTTGTCCCCATATTGAAGATGCGTGATATCCTGAAAAACAGAACAATTAGGGCTCTTTTTCAGGATGAGACCAATACATTTATGCTTGAAAAATGTTGATTTTCGGACTTGAGAATTGGATGGATGCTGTTACTCGAAACGCGTTTTAAAAGCTCACTCGCAGTACTATTGCTAACGCTATGGCGTGTTAAATGAACACAAGCAAGGACGCTAAATGGGCTCTGAAGAAGACGTCAGCATGACATTGGTGACTTAAAAAAGCTGTGGCCATTAGTTCCCGCTGAATTTAACTTCAGTAGACTAAGAGCATTACAAACGAAGCAGTTTAGGAGAGTCACATGTCAAACTCCAAACTCAGCTGAAGTTTCACAGATTAGGCAGTCCCATTCATGACGTTCAAACCTCTGGGCGACCGAGCCAACCAAAAATACTTTTTGGGATAGGTATGTAAAGGGTTGTAGCAGACTACCCAGATCAAAATGGCATCTCCCTCTCGCCGAAAGTTTTCATAACTGTGCAAAATTTTGGGCATAACCCAGCCGCGCCTAAGTGTTTTACCAACCGCGACCACCATGGTAGAGACAAACACTTGATATTTCAGAACCTAACCGCCGGATCAAACAATGTAAAGCGGAGACCGACAACCCTGGCCAATCTCATCCAGAAGCTGTTGTCCTGATTCGGTCACGTGGTTCATAATGGCACAGATCGTCCGCAAAGTCTACAAAATCACCAAAATCCTTAGTTTTCAGAGACCGCAAGACTTGTGAAAATGTTTCTAGAGTTTTGTACCAAACGGAAAAGCGTGTTAGGTGCGCCAAGCTGTTACAATGTCAGCATGTTAGTGTCGATCAATATCAAGACCAAGGTTAGGACATCTCAAGGTTAGGTCAGTTATCTTGTTTGATATGTATCAGTTATAAGACAGAAAAAAGCGAATTATTCTTGAGATCGCAATGACTATCATCACATTCGGCACTTTTGATGTCACCATCCCGTGACGTGATCTCATATCAGGATGTTTTCGCTTAAAAACATGACAAAATGATTATCTGGCAGATCTCAAAGGTTTGGTGGAACTCCTTAGATCAGATCAGAAGTTATTAAAGAACATCAAACTTTTAACCAGCACAAGCGGTTGCTGTGAACATTGATTCATACGGAACGCTTAAAACTTGATTGTGCTTTCAGAACGGGAACGCACTTGAAACCCATAGTGTTGTGACCAAATACAAAAGGCAAAGGTGGCAACAAATCGGATTTTAAGAGTTTGTTCGGGTTAATAACCAACTTTTTAATCACAATGTTTCAATCGTTTCGGAAAAATAAAAGAAGACTAGCAAACTGTTCTCGCGGCCCAAATCCCCGCAAGTAAGACAGAGATGTTTCCAGCTAATACACCGAACCGCCGCCCATCCGCTGCCCCCAATCCGGCCCGCTGTTACTCCCTTGTTGAAATGGTACAGTTTACAGACGGTGTAAGCTGAAATTCCGTTGCAGGAGACTGTTACGTGGCGGCGCGCACAGATCGCAGACACCATCATCAGTTGGTCTTGGAGAGTTTACTGGCTACTGGCGGCGTGACTTGACTGCAGACTAGAGCACGTCACGGACTGGGTCTATCCACGGATTGTGGATCCATCCGCGCACTGAATTGGCCCGGATCAAATATTCTACCGAATCATGGATTAGGACCGGGCCGGATTTTCAAATTTGCAAGCTCACACGGCTAAAGCGGACTGAAGCCAATCTAATGAAAATCACCACTAAATAGGATCTGAAATACTACGGGCTGCATAGTACACAACCCATCCATACATTCAACAGGCAATTTTTCTGGTGAACAGACCACATTGTTGAACGATACGAATGAGCGCCTCATATATGCCGTTATCGAAAGCTAGAGCTCATATCCTTCCAAGGCTACTAAAAGGCCTAATGATTTACTTTATCATAGTACAGCGCAATCACAATGTTTACGTTATCATAGAAGCCTACGTTATCATAGTACAGCTAGTATGCCTCTTCATCTTGTCAGCAATCTAATTTGTACCAAATGGGTGACAGTGCATTTCAGATTTTAAAAAAAACGGTGCAGGAGCGTTGTTTGTGGGCAGAAGTTTTATTATATTTCATAGCTTTGCTCCTATCGGAAAAAAATCTGAAAAATTAACTACCTGGCAGCACTACAGCTTTCGTTTGACCTATTCGGTCAGCCAAATTTATGAGCTCAACACCAGCTTCAAACCATGCATGTTGTTGCAACTGATCCATTTCCAGGTGTCTGCCAGAGCAAAGATTTTTTGCATCCTCACAGATTGTTTGTTTACCCAATCCCCTTCCCAATTCATATATCTCAAACAATGAACATGTTGTCCTCTACAACCATGGACCAAAGGCTGCTGTCTCACCCGGCCGTTAGCTGGTTGATATGATTAAGGTAAGCTTGGCATCCAGAAAAAAATGTTGGCGTTAGATAGACACTTCGTTTTTCATGTCCTTTCTCTTTTACTCTCACTTACATAATCATTCACGAATCCGACGCCAACAATGCATCTGCATACCTGTGATTCTACTGTAATGAATTATAAAGCCCAAGACACCTTTACAGAAAGTTAGAAAACTAACGTTTGATGAGGGAAATAAGGAAACAGAAACCAACAATAAAAGTTATGCACATGTGTGCTGGTAACGGATGTGTAAGGACAAACCTGCATGCAAATTTAGTAGTAAGGTCAAACGCGCCATTTCATATCCATCAACAGCCATCACGTTTATCAGAACGTTGGGCAGATTTATTTATGGTCAACATAAGATTAAACATTTCCTGATCGTGGCTGTTCACTCCAAATAAAAGTATCCCAAACCCCAAAAAATCCCTAGCAACAATTCTAAGTATTACCTCTTGCGCAAGCTGCCACGCGCTGTAATGCCACGAGAACATCCTAATGATGGTGCAGCATAGTCGGTTTGGGCCCCATAATTGCCTGGTATTGGTCAAAACTTTTAAAAATTTTAACAAGCAAATTGGCACACTGCTGGCAAAAGATGAATACCAGATAATGGGAAGAAAATCGTGCTATGTTTAACCGACATGTATTCCAATTTTTTCAGATGAGTCCTCTGAACTTCGTTCGAGTTTAAGAGAATGCTGCATGGTAAATGCATCAACTGTAATTCATTGCGTTTTGAGTGCACCAGCTACTTCGTGAAAAACTGCAAAATTAAATTGCATTGGCATACTTGCATGCCGTGTAGTAACACATCCACGCTCCCGTACTGGACCCGTGCACCTGGCGTGGATATCACAGAGAATAATTTGCGTTCGCATCAGCACTTCATTACATGTTTCAGCAAAATTGGACGGATATTGGGAACATACCATTTGTCTCATTTTCCTGTTCATTCCTGTATTCCTGCTTCCCGAACACCTTCACACCTTGCTTTCCGTACCATGTGCAGATCTTACTAACATCACCGTGACTTGTCAGATTAGCCGTCAAAACATGCTGAGCCCATTACATGAAAACCATCCGTTCTGTGCAGCAACATTTACGTGTACTTGTTGCTTGCAAATATAGTACCTCAGGTCATAGGTGCACATTCGCTTACAATGATCTTTTTTCCACCTCAGGGTCCTAGAATATGGCGCAATACAGACCAGAGCCAACCCTGAACACATCACCACCACGGTGCAGAATCTGAGGTTCATTGCCATGGCAGCCGGGTTTAATTAGGTGACGACATGACTTCCTCTGACCATTTCAAGCACGAGTGTGATGTCCGAACTCGCGGCTGGTTCCAAAGTCATGGGCTCTACATTCACGGAGACCGGAGTGTTTTATCTATTGTTTCTATAGCCTCGGTCGCGCGTGGATTATAATTATGACGCAGCCGGTAATCTAACAGGAAATAACGGTCGTAGTTGAGGTTGTTTCACCAGATGGTGTGTCCGAGGACGGATACACACCTGAGGTAATATACATGAGTTGGGATTGTCCTTTTAGTATTCAGGAATGCGTGAACGATGAGCATCGTTCTATGCTTGTGAACTGCGTGTTACTCAAACTATCGAGTGGCAGGTGAAGGTACGTTGCACCTGTCTGAAAATGTGATACAATTTCCTCACGTCTTTGGGTTATTGAAACCAGAGGCGATTTTGGCCCCTGCGATGTGGTGGTGCTTCTGAGTTATAGGCGATAATTACAAAAAAACATCCAGCAAGAACATTTGTTTTTTTACGTTTTGAGTAAGGAGTGGGTTTTGAACAAAAGGGTAGCCTTTAAGGCAGAATTTTTGTGCCTAACTTTGTTTCTGAGTGCGTGATTAGCCTTGTTTGTTGATTTTCATGCAAAATTGCATCGCCACAAGGCAGCAACCTGTATTGAATATTTTAGCACCCACTGGTGTACAGCAACCTATTGTATATTTTAAGCAATGGAAATTAGCACATAACTTTACCTTAAAACACTCCGATAAATCAAATTTGCTGCTAAAATTTCAAAAACTCTCTAGGTGGACACACATTGGTACGGTAGTAATGGTACCAGGCTTTCTCAATCCAAGCCGATCCGGTCCGACCTACCAGATAAATTTGTCTGGTGGGTCGGACCGGATCGGCTTGGATTGAGAAAGCTGGGGAAAGCGTATTGGCGGGCGGACTGGATGTGGACTAGAACTGGACTGGACTGGGCCTGATCTTGAAAATTAAATCCGTAAAGTGCTCTACGGCAGGCTCTACCCACTGGTTGGTTTTGGAGAGAAGCATGGCTACCGGCGGCATGACTCGACTGCAGACACCACCCACCGGTTGGTCTCGGAGAGAAGCGTGGTTACTGGCGGCATGACTCGACTGCAGACACCACCCACCGGTTGGTTTCGGAGAGAAGCATGGCTACTGGCGGCATGACCCGACTGCAGACACCACCCACCGGTTGGTCTTGGTGAGCAGAGCGCTGTAGCAGATGTTGAGGCAGAGCCCGAGTCCGATGCGGAGCAGCGTGCAGGACACCACCGTCGGCTTGGTCAGCACCACAAACGTCATGCCGTAGCAGACGGCGATGCCGCAGAGCAGGACGTAGCACAGCTCTCTGCCGGACGCCTTGACGACGGGCGTGTTGTTGAAGCGCAGGAAGACGGCGGCCGTGAGCAGGGTGGCGGCTAGGCCGAGGCTGCTGAACACGAGCGGCACCAGCGCCCAGCCCGAGCTCCAGGCCATGTGCTCGGCCGGCAGCCTGGTAGCAGGAGCGGTAGTCGGCGGTAGGCAGGTGGCCGCGCTCACACTCGACGCAGGTGTCATTGTCGATCCGGTCGCCCTCCGGACACTTGACGCAGCTCCAGCAGCAGGCGTCCTGGCGACGGCGGGAGGGGGAGGGGGGGGGGGTCACTGCGTGCCGGCACCAGCCTGGTCGTCGCTTTGGCCCAAAACGCCGCCGACATTCACAGTGGTCTGAGCGGAGGCTGAACAAAGCGATAGCCGGTTCCATACCCCGGCAAGCACACGGATAAGCGTTTTTTTTTTACACGAAAACGCCTAAAAAGGTCATGAGTTGGACGTGCTCTGTTTATCTTTGTGTTGTTTCTTTGCGGGTGAAATGTTGCTTTCTTGTGGTGATATTATTGGGCTGTGGACA